CATGCTCGTAGTAGTAGTCGTAGTAATAGCAGTAGTAGCAGTAGTACTGGTGGTGGTAGTAGTAGTAGTAGTAGTACCAGTCGTCGTCGTCGTCGTCGTCGTCGTGGTAGTGGTAGTGGTAGTGGTGCTGGTAGTGGTACTGGTAGTGGTACTGGCAGTGGTACTGGTAGTGGCAGCTGTGGTCGTGGTGGTAGTGGTAGTAGCAGCAGTAGCAGGGGTAGCAGGAGTAGTAGAAGGGAGCAGGCGGAGGAGGAGGCACGGAGAGCAGCAGTCGCAGTGGTGGTTGTCGTAGTGTTAATACATGAGCTCTTGTAGTACTGTTGAAAGAAGTAGCTAAGCGTCAAGAATAACACAGCGTACATGGTGCGCAATCTGAAAAATCTTTGACCCAAAGCCCAGCCACGAGGTTTACAGAACATGCCAGCTTGCATGGATGAACATGAAATGCCAAAACGGCAGAAATGTCCCGATTTCGGATGTATCAAGATTCAACAAAAGCCACTGACACTCTAACACAAGCCTGCCGCAGAAGCCAGGGCCCTTGCTGCTGAGATCGCCACTGCAGAACTGAACAGCATACCTGCCAGCTGATCAAACTGTTGACGTCAGAGGCGGTGACTGATCATCGAAACGCACAGCAAGTTGCTCCATGCGGCGACTGGAAAGCACGATCAGCATGGTGCATGGCCACAACAAGAAGGAACGACCAAAGCATCTGGCCGTAGGGTGACACGCAGCTTGCGCACTTGATGACACCGTGCGTCTGAACACGGTCCTCTGTGATGACCTTGGGATCCAAAGACTTTGGGTTCGGGCTTCTGGGCTCAGACTGATAATGAGGGCTGTTTGGAAGACTAGGGGTTGGCGCGCCAGCACGTACTCCATGTGTCCCAAGCACCAAGGTCACGACTGACAGACGGCCCATAAACTGCTCTTTGGTGAAGGTTCGGCCATCTGGAACCAGCTTCCCCATCCGGGCCTCATGATCGACATGACATCGTTGCTGGCCACACCATGACTGGCAGCTCATGGGTACTACTGTTATTTATGTTATCGTGATCTGATTTTCTACCAGCATCTACAAGTGATACTGCATTTTGCGACTTGTCATTGAGCGTTGCCTCTATATTTTCTTGTTGTTGCAGCGGTGGTTATGTGATTCTGGCATGTGTCGTGGTTGGCCGATGCTGCTTCTCGTCGGTTGCAGTTCTGTTGACAGTAACAGTCGTAGCAGTAATGGTGTTAGCAGTAATAGTAGTAGTAGTAGT